CCATGAGTAGGAATTGACTTGATGGCAGCTGGTCTGGTTTGGTTCTAATCATCATCCTATTCTTGACAAATTCATAAAGTATCTTTGTGTTGTGGGGGGCAAAAAAGCCCTTTGAACTGGCTTCCTGTTGTGGCTGGCTTTCCTCAATTGAACAGGATGCTCTAGGAAGTCTAACTGGTAAGCTGAAGTTCTGGGTATTGACTGCCAGCTTATGCCCAGCATCCCATACATTCTTGGGCATCAGCAAAGATGAAAACCCCCAAACTAGAGGGTAACATAAATGTTGCTGCTCATAGTCTGAACTTTGGCAAATCAAAATCTTTTTCAAGTTTGCGGTGGAGACTCTTCTTTGATGGCAACACTTGCCTTCTAAGCTTTATATTTCACAAGGTAATATTTTCATACCTGGTGTAATCAGTTTCCCTTAGAGGAGAAGACCTGAAAATAGACGAGCACTTCAGGCGAGGTAAATCCCATAGTGCATTTAATCGGCTCTCTGTTTACTGATTGCTCACCTGGCCTCTAATACATATAACAACATTATTTCTCAGGGCCTTCTGTGTTTTTCCCTTAGGTTCTGTTCACTCTAATCACAGGGACTGCATATTAGTTGTTGGTTGGGTGCAGGGACCTTCTTTGGCAGTGAGGCACACGTTCCTTTTCATCTTGCTTCTGAGTGGTGGTGTACCCTTTCTCAGATAGCCTGCTTAATACCCTCAACCCATTCAAAGACCAGCTTAAACCTGTTCAAAGACTAGCACAATACAAGTGAGGGGGCTTGATTTGGTGCAGGCATGACCCGGTACTACAGAGAAATATCACACTCAGCCTTACAACAACTCTGAGGTATACCACATACATGTCTAAACCTTGTACCTACAAAATACTGTTCTGAAATAGCCATATGTTGAGAGGTTCAACTTGGCACTTTTGAGACCATATATAATTGTATATTGTCTCTTTTATCCTGTAGGACTCCTGAATGTTTACAGATGCTATTTTAAGGTGTAGATTCCTTACACTGGAGTCCTGATGCGGTGCTCTGGGTAAAAGCACTAGACTGCAAGTCCTGTTTAAGCCACAAGGTTGGTGGTTTCAACTCACCAGCTGCTCCTTGGAAACCCTTTACAAGGTCACTATACATCCAAACCCACTCAATGGCACTTAACAACAGCAACAACACTCCTTATAAGGAGAATGTCTGTTTAACTTGCTTGGCACAATGGACAGCAAGATGTCACATGGAAGCAGAAAGAGTTTGAGGATGTCTAGATCAGTCTTGCATTTCCTTACTAAATTCAGTCCAAATCTTTAGCAGTTCTGGAATCTGTGATGGCGTGTGATATTTTTTCCCCCAGTTTAATAAAAAATCACATATAGTGTTTCTTTCCACGAGGCCTCCAGTTTACAACCACTACCCATTCCCTGCCTGTCTGTGGGTTTCTGCTCTTTCTAGAATTGGAATTATAGTAGCATCTATGAGGATAAATAAAAAGAAATATTGCTACTAGGATTGCAGTTCATATATGCATGAGTTTATTCCAAATAAAACATGTTTAAACATATCTCTGTGATTAGAGGATGGCTGCAGACAAGTTTTCAGTAATACACTTGTTTTCATCTTGTTGTTGTTAAGTGCCATTAAGTAGGCTCCAACTTATAGTGACCTTGTATGGGATCTCCAAAGAGCAGCTGGTGGGTTTGAACTGCTATCCTTTTGGTTAACAGATCAGAAGTTATCCTACAGTGCCACGTGGTCCAATCAAAAGTGGCTTCCAAGGAGATCTTCTGAGCCAGTTAAATTCAAGGCAGAGAGAGGTCAGCTCAGAAGGCTAGTACCACTATTTTGGGGAGATATCAAAGGCGTACTCTTGATAGATTTTTTTCTAACGACACAGAATTATCATGGGTGCTTATTATGAAGAAGTTTTAAGAAAAAGGAATCTGAATTGGTGAGAGAAAGATCAGGAAAGTTGTGTCAAGGAATTTTTTAGCATAACAACACTAAACCTGCTCATTCTTTGATGGTAGCAAGGACTGCCCTATGCTAATTTTGTTGGGAAATCTTACCCCATCTACCCTACAGTTCTGCTTTTGCCCTCTTCAGATTTTTTTTGTTCTCAAAACTGAAATAAGATTTAAAAGGAACACGATTTGAGTTCCTGGAAGATGCCAAATGGTTGCTTTGTTCTGGTGAAATTGAAGAGTGAATCTTTGAGAAAAGGTTAGAGAAACAGAAATACCTCTTTCAAAAGTGTATAGACATATGGAGGAAGCAATAGTTTCACATTTTGATATTTTTGTTTAAGAAAGTTCCTATGGTTTTACAGAAATGCTTTTTGATTTACCCTGTAGGTGATAGTTTTGGGGCTGTGAGAGAAACTGTTTTTAGTCTTCTAGAATTTTTTTGTTTTTTTTTCAGGGAGGATTGGCTTTGGTTTTGATTTAGTTGTTAAGTTTTCACTTTTCTTTCTGTCCCTTGTCAAGATACAAGGGAAGCAAAGAGGCATTGAATAAACAGAAACCCACAAGATAAATCTACATATTTACAAAAGCCTGTGACTTTTCTGGTAGCAGTAGTCTAGGAAGGAGAACTTTGTCTCTGGAAGAGGTTGGTATGTAGTTATTTTCTTGCATGCCCTCTCTTGACACCCCATTGAGAAAATAGACACTTAGAAATGATAGTCAACCTGATGCTTTTGAGTTAATCCTCACTCATGGCAACTCCATGTGTTACAGAATAAAACTGTTCCACTGAGTTTTCTTGGCTATAATGGTCACGTGGGGTCACCATGAGTCAGAACTGACTCACTGGCAAGGAACAACCATCTTTATTGTAGCAGATGTCCAGGTCATTCTTTCACAATGCTGTTAGGTGGACTGAACCACTAATCTTTAGATTAGGAGTCCAGAGCAATTTGTGAACTCTATCCAGCATCTTCCTCACCCTGCCCTACTGAACATATTACCAAAGTGAATGCTGATTTTTCCCTACATATCTCAGATAAAACAATGTGGATGAAACTGAATCAGTCATCTCATGTGAGTTTTCTTTAATTTTCCACAGGCTAAAGATGATATTACCTCTCTTCTACTCCACCTCTACCTTGAAACAATGGTGGGATCTAGTGAATGATGATGATACAATGTTTCCTGAATGTAGGCATTAAATATTGCATATGTGTAAGTCAGCATTCCAAATTCTTCTTAAGATCATCAACTTAACAGGAGAGCTTTCTTCGCATCTTAATGGCATTAAATGATGGCCATGGTCCTAACTGTCCAGGCAGCAACTCCAACCTTATACAAACAAAGGAGGGGGGAAGGTGTAAAGCTCTCAGCTATATGATATTGTTTAAGCCTTTGTCCACAAAAATAAAGCAATGAGGTTGGGATGCAAAATGACTTTATGATAAATGTGTCATAGAACCCATTTTGCAGAGGATGATGTTACAGTTGAAAGAGATTGGTTAGGAAGTAATTCCTGGAATTGCATCTTTCCACTCCATCAGTGCCCCCTACCTCCCCCATCACTCACCCACCTACAGTTACATTTCCAACCCATGCCTGAACTTGAACAGGACAGTTTCCTGTTCATAGAATTCGTTTACAAATGAAACGATAATATTTTAAGTTTTGAACCCAAATCAAATGCTAAACTTCATCCCAAAATTCAGAATCTACACAGATTTAAAAAAATCAAAAAATTACACAAAAAGTGCAAGGGCCTTTAGAAGATTTATTTTGTTGGTTCTGTACAGCAATGAAACAAAGTTAGAGATGAAATTAAATGCTAATTAAATTCGGCTACTACCAACAACAAAAACCTTAGACACACACAAAAAATGTCAAAGCAAACTGATGAAAGATCATAACATAGTCGTGTGTAAAATTTGTTAACATTTACAAATCAAGACCTGTGGTTTAGGTAGTTTTTTTCAAAGACAAAGTCATGAGAAGATAGGCTAGGCGTGTTGACTCAAGACCCTGAAGCCCCCGTGACCGTGTCAAAAGTGCGGCCCAGCAGCCAAGCTGTCTGAGGATAGAACGTTAATTAGCGATCTTGCTTTCTGACAAGCCCACCCACAACTGCGAAATGCAGTGTTACCTATTTTAAACTGGGAACGCTGTGTGCGTGAAAGGGCTGTTGGTTTTTAAACAAGCTTAAATGTTGGTTAGGAGCAAAATCTCGAGTTCTAATCTGACTTCCTAAAATCCCAGGATTCAATAGCGAATAATCTTCCAACAAAATACTTGGTGATGCGATTCTCAAAAATAGCACGCTAACAGCCAGGGTAGAAAAGGACCGATTTTCCAATCCAAGTCACTCACAGCCCTGGAGTAATCAGCGCGCCACTGCGGTGCCAGTAGTCCGGCCACCGAGTGGCTGTTCATCTGCGACGCTCCTGCTGGTCTGCACCTACTAACTGGGCTTTCTTCAGCATCTTAAAGTCCGACAGCCTCCTTTAATAGGGCTTGACTGGTTAAAACAAAAGTGTGTGCTGCCTGTGACCCAGAATAAGGCAAAATAAACCCTCCGAGGGCAACCGTTCATCCCTGGTCGGCGGGTGTCGCCCCAGAGAGCAGATGCATTGAGCCTTCGCTAAGGTTGTGCTGTGGATTGGGTTCCTGCTCTAGGTAGAGCGAGGCAAGCGCTCCCACCCCCTTCCGCTCCGCACTGTGCCCTAAAAGTCACACCACCCCGCGAACGCACAACTCCAAGGATTCAGAAGGATGCGCGGAGTGAGGAGAGGGATGCACACTCTTCCAGACCAAAGCAGCTGGAATCGACTCTGAACCCTGAAACATCTGTTCCGGTCGCTTTAATTTTCCGGGAGTGGTGGCGGGGAAAGAGGTGCTAGATTGTCTCTTCCTCTGAGTGAGAAGGTTCGCAACGCCCGCCCCTCTCGGCCCCGCTCTCCCGGGTCGTAGGGGCGCACAGAAGCTGGGTGCCTGAGATCCGGCCGGGGCGCGCCCTAAGGCCGGAACTCCGGCCTCCCTCACTTGGAGAATTGCGCCTGCACGGCGGCCAGGCCCAGTCCAGCAGGGACCAGGTGCGGGAACTTGCAGATAGCGCAGGTGCAGAGACCCGGACCGCCTGGGCCGCCGCCTGCGCCGCCGCCCGCTAGTGCGAACTGGCTACATGGCGGCTCATCGAGTGCCAGCGATAGGTACTTGGCGGGGCGTAGTGCATCCGGGGGCCCTACGGCGCCTGGTGCCAGCAGCACGGAGCCGGGCGCGGCGGCGAGCAGCGGCAGGCCTGCCAGCAGCAGGCGAGGCGCAGCGGGCCCAGCGCTCTCGCCCAGTGCGCGGCGCAGCTCCTGCAGCGAGCTGCCCAGCAGTAAGATGTAGTTGCGGGCGAGTAGCAGCGTGGCGATCTTGGAGAGTTTGCGGCCCGGCGCGCCCTGGCAGTGTGCCGCCGAGTAGGGCAGGATGACCTCGCGCAGAGCGTCCATGGCCAGGTTCAAGTCCTGCATGCGCTTCCGCTCGCGGCTGTTGATCTTGCGCCGCAGCTGCTGTTGCTGCTCTTCCTTGGCGTCTGCCCGGGCGCCCGCGTGCGCGCTCGGTCCCGTCCCGGTGGCCCGCGACTCGGCCGACGCCTCCAGTTTCTCGCGCGCCGCCTTGGGAAGAAGGGGACCCGGCGTGGAGGAGGAGGACGTGGAGGAAGAGGAGGGCGGCTGCCGGTAACCCACCAACTCGTACAGGGAGGCCCCGAGCTGCACGTCTCCAGGCCGCTGTGGCCGTAGCATGGTCGTTGGGGCGGCGTTCACGCGCGCTTGGGAAACCACATAGTACATCTGGGGGCGGTGGGGGTGGCCGAGAGCGCCCTTCGGGAACGCCCCAGGGTGGGTCTATTAACAGGCCGCCCCTCCCCGCGGAGCTGCGCTCGCGATGCTGACGGCTGGGCAGCAGCCCGCGTCCGACCCCTTTAAACTAAGCATGGGAACCTGCGGGGCATCGGGCGGCGGAGCGCAACCAATCGAAACACGAGATTAGGCGCAAGCGCACCCTCATTGGCCGCCGCACCGTAGAACTGTGTGGAGGTGTTGCTGGCGCCACTTAGGAGGTTATAGAGGACGCCTGCGCTAGGGTTTTGGTGTGCTTCTTTTAGGGTGCTACACCGGTGTTTCTGGAGGGTAGGCTGCATTGATGAGGCTAAAACTTGTGCGCCTCCCTCCAGCTGCCCAACCTCTCCTTAAATAGTAGTTATTATTATTATTATTATTAATATTATTATTATTATTATTATTATTATTAAAACATGGTCTCTGTCAGATTCTGAGAACGGTTTTTGGCCTCAACGACAGTAGTAGCGTTACTTCTTGCCACTGCCCTTTCCCCTTCTCAGCCTTCTGATTAAGAGGTCTTTCAAAACTAAGCCGCTACTTGGATCAGGTTTTTCTCCTCCCCCCAAAAAGTAACGTGTATTGTGTTCATTCTATTAGACTTTTTATTATTTGACTACACACACACACACACACACACACACACACACACACACACTTGAATGCGCTGAGGTGGGGCTGGATCTTTATTTTCTTCGAATATAAAATAGCATGACTTGACTTGGCTCTGGAATTCCTCTACCGCTGACACCAAGGCATACTAGTGCAGCTTGTCATCATTACGTGGCACAACGCCGAAGGGAAGGGCCCCTTTTGGTATCTAACCCTTCAGAGTTCCTCTGTCCAACATGGCAGCCCTGACCCACATGTGGCTATTTATTAAAATGAAATTAAGTAAAAAATGTGCTTCCCCAGACACAATAGCTTCATTTCAAGTCAAATGTTCAGTACGCATGTGGTTGGTGTTTACCATATTGGACAGAGATTGCTATTAAACAAAATCCATTGTTGGCAGAACATTCTATTGGACAGCACAAATCTAGAGTATAACAGAAAGGATACCAGCTTCCTTGGTCCTTAGTCCTCTGGTGTAAGAAGAAAGTCCCTGCCGAGAGGTCTGTTCACGTGAAATTTAGGAGGTCACTGGCTATGCTTGCTGATTTCAGGGTCACTTTGTTCTCAGTTTCTGCCACCAATATTTGCCCCAAAGGCTCCAACTGGTCTCCCCTTCCAACCGCCAGTTCCATTTAAAATAGTCTGCTCACATCTCAACTCCAACTTTGCTTTCTTTCCAAAATCTTGGTGATTTTGTGTGTTCCTTCTTTTTCCATCACATTTGTCAAACCATTAGAGCATTTCTTCTTGTCTTTGTTGTTGTTGTTAAGTGCCATCCAGTAGGTTCCAACCCATAGTAACCCTGTATAGGGTTTCCAAAGAGCAGCTGGTGAGCTTGAACCACTAACTTTGTGGTTAAAACCGACTTTGCAGTCCTAGATTGTATTATGTCAATATGTCTCTGCATTCGGCTGTGCTTGTCCTGAGGACTGGAACTACCTGTCCATTTCTGCATCCCTCACAGTTCTGAAATCTCTTTTAGCTCATAGGCTCAATCTTTGAATGGCACAAACTCCAAACAGTACTCTAAGAGTCACCATTTCCTCTAGGTCTCATAGAAGGAGGGAAGTTGGTAGCTTTTAGGGAGGTCTGACCCGACATAGGGGAGGAACGGGACTCACTTCTGGAAAGAGATGGAGGTCTCAGAAGGAAGGGGCTGAGTCCCTAGTAGACCACACTGGGCATCAAGGGGAGGGACCTAGAACATGACCTTGGAAATTTCAATCAGTTAAACTTGACACACCACTAATCATTTCATCTTCTGCTAAAGCACTGTGCTTTTCAGAACATTTTAAAAGACCTTTTTCATCCCTATTGTTCATTCTGAGGTGTGTATATGGTTCCTAGAAGGAAAATGGATTGTTGGGGGCCATAAAGAAACTTTCTGCAGTACTAGGAATCAGAGAAGGAAATGAAATGCAGCTCCAGCTGCCTCTACACATCTAGAAGAAATAGATAGTGCCTGAATGCCATTACACAATGGGTTATGCAAGAACTCAATATATGAATCCTGGTGCGATACTGTAGGGTAAACATTGAACTGCTAAATGCAAAGTCTGCGATTTAGGCCCACCAGCCACTCCTCAGAAACCCTATACAGGGTCTGAACCAACACAACGGCACTTAACAATAACAACAATCAAAAGGAAGGAAACAATGGAGAAGAACTTCAAATTCATATGAAAATCAAACTTACTGGAACCATTGAGACTGGGGGAACCCTTAAAACCTACAGCCTGGAAATAATCTTCAGACCTTGAACCAAATCTAGCCCGTGAAGCCATCATTAAACTAAACAATAACTTAACCACCAAAGAAAGTTTGCCTTGAGCATTGTGCTGTTGTAAAGATGCATCTATATGATTCAAATGGAAACAGTTCATCTAAAGTCCAAATGAGAACACTAAGGGGCAGAGAGTCCAAATTAATGGCAATGAAACAATCATGATCCAATGTGATATTGCCAATGTCACTGAATTGTAGAAATTGTGAATGGATGTATGTGTAGGATGTATGTGTAGTTGTATATATTGCCATCAAAAAGAACGGGGGGTAGGGAAGAGCTTTCTACCAATAACAGCGGAACTGGATTACCAGTGGGCTGGCTTCCTGAAGTCTCTCCCATTGGACCTGGCTTCCTAGAGGCAGTGGAGGCTAATGACATGAAAGACTGGGAACTGTGTGAAAGGATGAAGGGGCCAGCCTAGGGATTTTATTGAGGGATTTTATTTTGTCCCTAAAGAATGAGTTCACTGAGCTCCCACATCCATGAGCCCTGTATAGTCCTCTCCTGCAGTGTCCAACATCACTCTCAAAGCCACCTGCCCTGTGGCTGATGTGGCAAGCCCAATCACCTCCCTCAGCCCACATTCTGACAAGACGCTGCTAGTGGGAAGAGGAAGTAAACAAGGAGGCAGAACCTAAAGTTTCAGACAGAGTTGCCTAATCAGTGCCCTCCACATACTCCATCACAGGCAGGGGTTCCCAGGAATCAGAGCAGCTTTTCCCTCAAAGCAGCCTCTCCTACAGTCATGTGTCTATGAGGGTCCTCCCAATCTTGACCTCATACATCTCCTTCTTGGGGAAGAGGGTCTCTTGAGAGAAATGCCTTGAGGTGTCTTAGGGTGCAACTAAGTTGGCCTTAAGGGTGAATGGCTGCAAGGAAGAGAGAAAAGTTGAGTGTGGCAAGAGTTCTGGGGTAGAGAAGGGGCCCTGCCCCCATGGGGGACTCTGGAAAGAATCTCAGAAACAGAAGCAAGTTTCACTGTTGAAACTAGAATGAACGTCTGGGTGGTGTGGCTTAGGAAAAACCTCTTTATCTCTCTGTGACTCCCTTATACCAATTGTCATCAAACCACCCCAGTGGAGATGTGCAAGTCAGTCTGAGGGGTGGCTGGGGTAGGTGGTGGTGCCGCAAAGATGGTCGCCAAGCAGCAGAACTGTATGGCCAACAAGATACACAGCAAGTGTATCACCCAGTGCCGCAACGTAGCCAAGACCTCGAGAAATACCCCTTAGAAAAGGCGTCTGTAGAACCCTGGCTTTCTTCATTTTTTTTGTTTGTGGCTCTGCAATTTTCCAGATTATTCAAAGTATCAGAATGGGCATATGAAGTGATTGAACCTTAAGCTGTTTCCATTCTCTTGTGAATTATAACTTAAACTCATTCCTGATGTTTGATACCCTGGTTTAAAACGATTAAGTAAAACATCCTGCCTCAGAATGACTTTTCATATCATCCTTCATGTGTCATTCCAAGGTTTCTTCATGAATCATTCCAAATTTTCTAGTCCATACCACAGTGCCTTGCAAAAAGTGCCACATGAATAGAGCAATAAAATTTGATTGTTATGCTACAGTAGTGGACCTTACTTATTCAGTCAGTGAAGAGTAAGTTTTTCTATGTGATTGTTAAAACTGTATGTGGTATGATTAACTAGATCAAATCTGTATAGACAGGGTCTAGAGTTTGTTAACCCTAATGTGTTGGAAGAAGTGCAGCCAGAGTGCTCCTTGGAGGCCAGAATGGCCAAACTTCGTCTCTCATATTTTGGACATATTGTCAGGAGGGACCATTCGCTGGAGAAGGATATCGTGTTTGGTAAGGTAGAGGGTCAGAGAAAAAGAGGGAGACCCCCAACAAGATGGATTGGCAAAGTGGCAGTATCAATGGGCTCAAGTGTGGCAACAATTGTGAGGTTGGTCCAGGATCGGGCAGTGTTTCGTTCTGCTGTGCATACATAAGTCATTATAAGTCAGTACTGACTCAGTGGCACCTAACAACAACAACAATGTGTAAATGCAATTAGCTTAATTTAAAATTTTGGAATCTGGTTTTTATATAGGTAGGCACTTTATTACTACTATCTCTTGAAAGCACACTCCCATTTAGGATCAGGGGCTTATGGTGACCCCATATGTGTCAGAATAGAACTGTGTTCCATGATGTTTCCCGTGGCTGATCTTTTGGATTTAGATCACCAAGCCTTTCTTCCAAAGCAACTGCTGGGTGGACTTGACCCTCCAACCTTTTGGTTGTTGTTGTTAAGTGCCGTGGAGTCAGTTCTGACTCATAGTGACTCTGTATAGGGTTTCTGAGGAGCAGCTAGTGAGTTTGAACTGCTGGCCTTGTGATTTGCAGCCACACCAAGAGTCCTATTAATTAGCAGTCCAGAATGTTAACTATTTGCACCACCCAGAGAGCCTCAATTATCTCATCAATAAAGTGTTGTTGTTGTTGAGTGCCATCAAGTCACTTCTGACCCATAGCAACCCTGTATAGGATTTCCAGGGAGCTGCTGATGAGCTTGAACCACCCCGACTTTGCTACTCAAACC